CAAAGTGCCACGGGAATTATGTGAAAGAGAAATAAAATAATGTAACGGCACAGCAGACATGGAAAGATGAAAAGTTTAGTGAATCTCCATCACATCCCAGCGTGCTAAAGATGTGTTTCTGTTGACTCCACCAGACAATACTCCTTACCTAGACTTCTCCCTGTCGACTTATATCCGCTGGGTGAAACCCTCATGCAAATCCCTCCCTAGGGGGTTGCTGTTTAAATACAAACCCCTGATTCTATGAGCTTCAGTCTCTCCCCAGACACAGAACTGCCCGGTCCTGCCCACTGGGGAGTTTCCCTCATTGCATGGAAATGAGAATGAAATCTCTGTTGCTTTTCCTTTCCCTGTTCTCCGCCCCCACCTGTAAGTGTCTGTGGGGCAGTGGGGGAATCAGGGACTGAACCATAGATTTGTTCGGTGGTAATACTTTCCGCACTTTGTTTCCTTTCTCCAGGTGTCCTGTCTCAGGTGCAGCTGGTCCAGTCCGGCCTGGGAACGGTGAAGCCTGGAGAGACCCTCACCCTGACCTGCGCTGTCTCGGGTGTATCCATCACTGATAGCAGCTACGCTTGGAACTGGGTCCGGCAGCCCCCCGGGAAAGGGCTGGAGTGGATGGGGTATGTGTACCCGTATAGTAGCGGGAGCACAAGCTACGCCCCGTCTCTCCAGGGCCGAATCACCATCTCTGGAGACACCGCCAAGAACCAGTTCTCCCTGCAGCTCCGCTCGCTGACAGCTGCAGACACCGCCACCTATTACTGCGCCAGGCAGACACAGTGACCCAGAGCAAAGCGGGACTGGCACAAAAAGGGGAAGCTGGTTCTAAGCAGCCGAGTGAGGCCAGAGAAGCAGGGATAGCTGAGCCCTCAGAGATAAAGACACACACAGTAGATTGACTATGAACAACCCACATACTAATAGATATCCGTTAAAATGCCTCCAGCTGCCACCCAGTTTCTCTGGACACTATTTACCTTTCCGCGGCCACGGGAAGCTTTGCAAACTTACGGAGAAATGTGTCAGTTGTTACATTACGTTTATTATAGTAACAGGCAGAGACAGATTCATGGCAAAACAGTTACACAAAAATCACTCAGGACCCCTGGGTCTGTCTGCCTGTGTGTGTGAGAGTCTCATTCTGTCCAGTAGGGGGCAGCAGTTCTTCCTCCCCGCCACCACCAAGCGTTTCTTCTATAGGCAAGCACCTGAACTGAGGTGCTGCATTTCCCCCCCGTGTGGTCCCACACCAGTTCTCCCCGCGGTTCTGCTCCCACGTATTGCTGTGCTGGTGACAGACAGTAAAGCAGGGCAGGGGGAGGCTAATACAATAATTCCTGTTCAGAGTCGCAGCTCATAAAATACTGCGTGATCAGCCCCCTGTGTTCCTAACACTTATCCCCAGCAGGGTCAGTTCTAGATTTTTTGCTGCCCCAAGCAAAAAAATGTTGGCTGCCCCCCATCTCAGCCCTGGGTTCTCACCCCCCCCACCAGTGCCCTTCTCCACCCGCACCCCCTGCTGCCCCAGCCCTGGGCTTCCCCCCACCAGTGCTGACTCCGCCGATTCCCCCTCACCTCCAGCCGGTCCGGTGCTGGCAGGGTCGGGGTAAGCAGCAGGGGGTCCCAGCCTCCAGGACCGGCTGGGACCCAGGAGGGCAGAGCTGGGAGACTGCCCGGCAGAGCTCTGAGGAGCCGGGCCAGGGTAGCCCCAGAGGAAGCAGAGCCCCAGAGAGCGGGATGCGGGCCCCGCATGGCAGCGCCCCACCTCTATGGCCCCACTGCTGCTTCTGGCCACCCAGCCGCCATCCCTGGGTGGCACGTGCTTGGTTTGCTGGTGCCTAGAGCCGGCCCTGATCCCCAGCCTGGAGAGCGGGGCTGGATCCATGATTTCACCCAGAAATTGGGGGTGCCCAATTTACCGGGGCTGTTGAAAATGGCACAAACCATAGTCCGAAGCCCACGGAATGATGGGAGAGAAAAATCTGCATCATGTGACAGTGAGCCCACACCCAGGATGCACTGCAGTCTGTGATCCATTCCCTGTTCCCACAGTTCCTAGCAGCAGCAGGGGGTGAGCTGCACAGTGGGATAGCTACCCATGATGCACTGCTCTCTCTGTCAGTGCTAGAGAACCAGCTGTGGACCTGCTCTGCCGACACAGGGAGCGGCGTGTGAACGTACACAAGCAATGCAATTATTGCGGTTTATAATCATCCGCTGTAACTTGCTTCAACTTAACTCTATAGTGTAGACGCAGCCTTAGGGAAAGCAGATTCAACAGGGAGGTTCGGGCCTCTCTGGTGCTGTAATTTACCATTTCCATTGTAGCCTGCAGGGAACAAGACACAGGCCACGTCTCTCTCGAGGTGGTGGCGCCTACAAACAAAATCATTCCATCCCCCTCCATTGTGCATCTCCCTTCAGGGCTGCTGCAGCCCCAGCTCTCAGGCTGAGACACCCCAGAAGAGGCATCTTCTCTCCTTGCCCAGTTCCTCCCTTTTAACTAGAGCTGTTTCTCAGTCTCTGGTCTCTGAAACCAGCCTCTCCCTCCCCCTGCAGCTGTGACTACTTCCCCCTTAGATGTTCCCAGGAGCTCTGTTCCTATTGGCAGAGGCTGTACGTGCCTTGTACTGATTCCGTTTGCCCAGCACAGTCTGCAGTAGCCACGGCTCCAATGGAGAGAAACCCATTGACTGCCCCGGCCTGTGGGTCACACCCTAAGAGATGAAGGGGGCTGTGAATCTCCTACCCAGCAGACAGCCCGGCCTAGCTAGAGGTCTCCCCGGTAGTTTGTACTCACTGGATGAAATTTGCATGGAACTGCCTGGCCTAGGGGGTTCTCCTGAGTCCAGGTTCTGGTAACTGTCCTCTGGGCCCACCTTCCTACCCTCAAGCAGCCATCACCTGTCCATGTGCTGAGCTGAGCGCAGGGTCTCTCGGTGTGTAAAGGGGGCACCTGTCTCTGAGGGGACGTCGCCATGTACCGAGCGCCTGCCCTGGGGGATTCCTATTTAAATACAAACTCCTGGTTCTGGGAGCCCCAGTCTCTCCCTAGACACAGAACTGCCTGGTCCTGCCCTCTGGGCAGTTTCCCTCATTACATGGAAATGAGAATGGAATCTCTGTTGCTTTTCCTTTCCCTGTTCTCCATCTTCACCGGTAAGTGTCTATGGGGCAGGGGGGAATCAGAGACAGATCCGTAGATTTCTTTGGTTGCCAATTCTCTCTTTGCTCTGCTTTGTTTTTCCCAGATGCAGCCAGTCCAGTCCAGCCCAGGACCAGCGAAGGCGGAGAGACCCTCACACTGACCTGCGCTGTCTCCGGGTTCTCCATCATGACTCCGCAGTACGAGCTGGACGGGATCCAGCAGCCCGCTGGGAAAGGGCTGGAGTGGGTGGCTTATGTAGTTGCAGACAGTGGTGTGAGCACAGGCTATGCCCCGTCTTTCCAACGCTAAACCACCATCTCTGGAGACACTTCCAAGAACCAGTTCGCCCCCCCCGGCTCAATTCACTGACATCTGAAGACACCACCGCCTCTTCCTGAGCCAGGCAGACATGAACAGTGACACAGAGCAAAGTAGGGACTGGTACAAAGGGGAAGTGGCTGATAAACTGCAAAGTGAGGCCAGGGTGACAAGGGTAATATGAGCCCCCACCCCCCACACTGCCCAGAAACACACAGTGGCTAGAACAGGACAAACATCCCCAGAGCTATTGTTAAAACTGCCCCCAGAAGCCCCCAGTCTCTCCACGCCCAGTTGACCTGTCAGCTGCCCCAGGAATCGTGTCCAGCTACTGCCAGAACACAGTGAGTGGTTTGTATTTCAGGGTCCTGTGGCACCTTTGAGACTAACAGAAGTGTACTTCTGTTAGTCTCAAAGGTGCCACAGGACCCTCTGTTGCTTTTTACAGATTCAGACTAACACGGCTACTCCTCTGATGTTTGTATTTCAGTGGCTCTAGGAACAGGCGGGGACCGGTTCACCGATGTACAGAGTTAGACGCGGACAGGGACAGGTGGAGGTGTCCATCTGTTTGCCTGTGAGTGTCTCTGCATGTTTGTGTAGACTAAGAAGGTCTATTTCCAGCACAATCCCCCAACACACACATCCCCCAATCCTCCTTCCCTCCATTAGGGGGCAGCAGTCTCCCTCTCTCCCCCCCACACACGGCTTTTCTATATGGAAAGCGCCTAACACGGAGCTGCTGCATTTCTCTCCAGGGCTTGGTCCAGACTCTCCCCCGTGTCCCAGCCATCACAGCCCCTGTGCTGACAAAGCCCAGACCCTGCAGTGTCTCTCCCTGCCCAGTCCCCTCCCACTTGCAGCGCAGGAAAACCCAGGGGCAAATCCACATATTTTTGTGCCTCAGTCTCCCCCCAGAAATCTAACTGCTCGTTTTGACTGGGCGTTTCCCTGCCTGCCTCTCTGTGGCTGTTCCTTTCCCTGGAGCCCCAAACATCCCCCAGGCCTCACCCCACTCTGCCAGGAGCAGCGCACCCACCCACACAAACTAGTATATAAGAACATAAGAATGGCCATATTGGGTCAGACCAAAGGTCCATCTAGCCCAGTATCCTGTCTTCCAAGAGTGGCCAATGCCAGGTGCTTCAGAGGGAATGAACAGAACAGGGAATCATCCAGTGATCCATCCGCTCTCATTCACTCCCTTGCTCTGGCAGTTGGAAGTTTAGGTGCAACCCGAGAATGGAGATGGTCCCTGATCTTTTAGGCTAATAGTCATTGATAGTCCTATCCTCCTCTAATTTATTTTAACCTAGTTATACATTTTGCCTTCACAGCGACCTCTGGCAAGGAGTTCCACAGGTTGACTGCATTGTGTGTCTGTTTAAAAAGCCCCCACACAAAGCGTTCCATTTCCCACGTGTTCCTCATTCCTGTCACTGCAACCCCAGCCCAGAAACTGCATCTTCTACTCGGGCCCGGTTCCCTCCCCTTTCCCCAAAGGTTTTTGTGAGCCCGTGCTCCTAAAACCGGCCTTTCCTCCTCCGTTAGATACTCCGAGGAGAGTCTCAGCGTCGGGACATCCATTCTCTGTATTGTCGGTGCAGTTTGCAGTATCCAGTGCTGAGATGTTTATTTTACAGACAGGCGGCGGGGGGGGGTGTGTGTCTGACTCTCCCATCCTCCACACTGCGTTCCAGCATCCCGGGAGGTTTATCCCCACTCGGAGATACCCACATGCCGGTCCCTGTGTGGGGGAAATGCTCACAATTCCCTTGTGTCCTGTCCGCTCATTTCCAGGTTTTCTGGGGGGAGGGAGGCGGTGGTAAAGAAACTTTTAAATGTGAGCGGGGGGAAAGAATCTGAGCTCTCCTTACCCGAACAAACCCTCTGTCATGGCCTTGATTCGAGCTCAAAACAACCCCAACTTTATACTCGCGAATGCACAGTGCCAAGTTACCACGGTGACGGGCGCCAGTCTCAGACCCCGGACAGCTGGAACCCGGGCAGTGATTAGGAGGCGTTCGCTAATGCTCTGCTCATCCCCGGCCTGGCGCACAGCTAACAAGGGGAGACTGCCCAATGGGCGCTGGAGATCGCTCCTTGAGGTCTGGCTGGGAAGGAAGGGGGTCTCTCCCCTGCAGCCGCAGCCCTGAGCCTCTTTCTCTGGCTGCTGTAGCCCTGCACGTCCCAAATTCCTCCCACCCCCTCTTCTCACACCACTGCCGCCTCCTACTACTCCTATTCCCCCCAAGGCCACCACCTCACCTTACGTGTGCATCTTCTCCAGGGTCCAGGCACCTAATTAGTGGAGCCAGGCCTGCGCGGATCCACTAATTAGGTGGGTGGCCCTTCATTGTTTCGTGTGCAGCCGCCCAGGAGTGCACCTTAGAGGGAACTATCCGTGGACCACCTGAATGGAGCGCGGACCAGTGGTGGTCCGTGGACCACAGTTTGAGAACCTCTGAATTAGAGAACATGCTCGTTTAAAGTTGCTCAATGCTCCCTTATAGTGTTGTTTGGCAGCTGCCTGCTTTGTCCACTGCTTGCAGGAAGAGCAGCAGTTGGAGTTAGCTGGGGGGGAAGCTTGGAAGTCGGTAGCGCTGGGACAGCTCGGCTCTTAAACAGAGCCAAAGAGTCAGGGGAGGAGCAGAGCCTCCGGCCGCGGCGGCTCTGCTCCTCCCCTGACTCTTCGGCTCTGTTTAACTTAGAGCCGGGCTGCCCGAGCGCTACCGGCTTTGGGCAGCCCCCATGCCTCCGGACCCTGCGCCGCTGGAGCCCGGGAAGGGAAGTGCCTGGCTGGGGGCGCAGGGTCCGGAGGCATGGGGACTGCCCGAAGCCGGCTCAATATAAAAGGCAAAATGCGTCCTTGTACCTAAAGCACATGTGCTGTCTGCTGTGAAT